ACAAATGACTGAACCAATATTTGAACTGAGGCAGCCTAGTTGCAGAGTCGTACAGAGTGTCGCATTTCCCCTCAAAGCCCTTTTATTGTTCTGCAATCGTCTGATTCAGTTTGCTAACTGTGACTATCTCACAGAGGCACAAGCATCTCCATGGCAGGTGATTTTCCGTTCTGTTCTATACTATATTCCTAGAGAAGCACCTAGAGTCTCCCAATAATCACTATATAAATGAATGAATTAAAGCCGGGCATTGGTGGTGGACACCTTTAGTCCCAGCACAAAACAAGCCAGACTCGGGCGAAGATTGCACAAAGGCTGGAGCAAGGGAAGGGGGCCAAACACAAAATGTCATCCCTCTGAACCTGCCCTTTGAGTAAGTGAGATTTGGCCAGGAAGCAAGTGCCTGGAGGAGGCAGACATACATCTTTGGAAGAGTTCACACTTATATAATATCTTGGCTTTCACTGACAAAAGCTTCATTCAGATTTTGTATATCTGCTTCAGGCTGGGTCTTCAATACTGCATGAAACTAACGAGTCTGTCAAAGGCAATTATTTAGATGACTCAGTTTCTCAGCATCTTAATGTTGTCTGAATTGGTCTGATAATTGAGGCTACAAAAACAAAAGGTTGAGTTGGGTGTGGTGGCTGGTATATGTAATCCCTGTACTCTGGGAGGCAGAGGCAGGAGAGCCAGACAAGTTTGAAGGCCAGCCTGGTCTTCCAGGCAAGTTCTGGGACAGCCTGAACTACACAGCACAGCCCTGTTTCGAAAAAGCTAAACACGAGGGCCAGGAGGATGAGCAACTGATAAGATGCCACGGTGCGAAAACTAAAAACCAAGTGGAACTGGTGGTTGCTTCTCAAGCTCTCACGCATAGGCAATCCAAAAGAACTTAATTTGCAACACAGAAGTGGACTCAAAGGAAATCATTAGTTTACTGAGCTTGCTATTTATTGGTTGATTTGAAAGCAGGACTATAGGGGACTGGAGAGATGGTTCTGCTGGGGTTCAATTCCAAGCAACCACATCAGGTATCTCACCTTAACTCTAGCTCCAAAGGAATCCTATGCCTCTGGCCACCCACAGTGTCTATGCTCAGGTGTCCCCCCTCCCTCCCCCCCCGTAGTCATGTACACATAAGTAAAACTATTTAAAGAGGCAGCCTAAAATTACGAGGAGGAAAAATCTTTGTCCTGGCATGATCCACGGAAGTTTTGATATTCACTCAGAAGAGCTAGTTCTTTAGTGGCTTGTCATTTTGAACTGCAGTGTTGAATCCTAAACTAATACGGTGTCTCAAAAATTAACTCTCGTGAAAAGCCGGCTCCGTTTTAAACAGTATGACTCATGAGGCTTTGGCAAGTCAAGGATTAAAACAGAATCCGGCAAGCCCACGAATTGGGAGTTTACACGCACATAAATAGTGTTTCTCCTGGTGCCACATTAGGCTGTCAGCGACTGTATCATGTCATCTGAAACTGAAGAGGATACAGATGCCACAACATCCAGAATGACAGGAGCACGGGGAAGAGAAGGGGCCCACATGCACCCCTGTGCGTCACTTTTCCCTTTAATGTCTTCAAGTGGACACCGTCCACTTCTTGAGTAGGTACTTACTAACAGGCATCTTCTGGGCTGTTTGGTCAGCAGTCAAGCTAAGGAAAACAGCTTAAAAATAGGACTCTGAGCCTTGTCATTCATGCCGCCTGTCTTCAGGCAGGAAGGAAAATGCACATCTGCCCAGAGTAGCATCCTGTTAGGATTTTCATTCCAGCAGTCCGGGCTCCAAGCCTCACTGACTGCTTCCAACATCTCTGCTCTACCCTGGTGCGACTGACCTTGCTTCTCTGGACCTGATGATGTCAAGGTCACTCACATTTGCCTTTTTTCTATTATTATTTTGTACGTGTATGTTTCTGTGTCTGTGCGCAAGTGTGACACAGCACTTATGTGGCGGTCCAAGGAGTGGAAGCTGGTCCTCTCCTGTCTGTGGGTGCCAGGGTGTAAACTCAAGTCATCAGGCTTGACAACATAGGCCTTTACCTGCTGAGTGTCTGGGGTTGCTAGAGAAGAGAGCTGTTTCCCTTGAGTTGGATGCTAAGTCTTCCTGCTGAGTTGTTGAAAGGGAACCCAGTTTTGCATTGGGGATCAAACCGAAGTGAGCATGAGAAGCAAGCCACATCCCTGTCCCCAATTCTCACAGCTCTAAGAGCTGTGATTCTGAGGACACAATTGTTATCTGAACTTATAGGAGGACAAATAAAAATCCACAAATAACCTAACAAGTTCGTTATTTATATAACATATTTATATAAGAACACACTTTATCCAAACTCACCTAAATGACTTTGGATTAAATAGTAAGTTTTTTGAAAAGCAATCAGAGCTGGTGAGGTGGCTCAGTTAGGCCCTGCAAGCCTGACAACCTGAGTCATCACGTGACAAGCTGGGTATGTGTGATGGCGCACAGCTGTAAACCCAGAACACCTGTGGCGAGATGGGAGCGGGAGGCAGAAGAATCATCCAGAACCTTTAGACCAACCAGCCTGACACAGACGCTGCCTCAACCATGAGGAAGGAGAGAACCAACACCCAAAAGCTGGCCTCTGCCCCCCACATGCATGCCATGACACCCATGTACCATGTACCCACATTGTCACACACACACACACACACACACACCACAGAATTTAAAAACTATAGAAATCGGGGACAAGGAGAGACCATATCTTCTGACAAAGAAGTGAGGGCTGGAGACAGTGCTTATCTGGGTTATTGTGGCTTTTCTGGCGCTGTGATAAAACACTATGACCGAGACTACTTACAGGAGGGGGGACTTATTTGGGCTGACAGTTCCAGAGGGATAGAGTCCATGTGCCTGCAAGCAGCAAGCATGGCAGCTGTAACTGAGAGCTCTCACATCTCCAAATGCAAGCATGAAGACACACAACAACAAAAACCAACACTGAAGAAAGTGAATGGGAAATGGTGCAAGTCTTTAAACTCCGTGACATACTTGCTCCAACAAGGCTGCACATCCTAAATTCCCAAACAGCTGCCATCTGGGGACAAGTGTTCAGCCACATGAACCTATGAGGAACCTCCTCCATCAAACCACCATATCTAGCACACACAAGGCCCTGGATTCAAGCTCCAGTGGGAAGAAAAAGTGAGATGATAGAGACCAAAACCCCCAGGTTGGATAAAATGGGGGTTCAAGGACATACCTGGAGGCAACAGGTGGTGACTTAAGAAAAAAAGACATGGAGATACAGGAAGACATTTTGGGGGGAATTTATGATCTTTTCTATAAAATGGAAGACAAGATGGTGATGGGAGAAGGCCTTCTGTATATATGTCTCTCTTATTGGTTAATGAATAAAACACTGTTGGCCAATAGGGAAGCAAGATAGGTGGAACTAGGAGAGAAGAAGGATTCTGGGAAATGTAGTCAAGAGTGGAGAGTTGCCATTGATCCTGAGGAAGAGAGGACGCGTCAGGATGCCGTCCTTGGGAAGATAAGTCCTTACAGAAATATATATTCGTAGTCATGGGTTAATACTTAAGACAGAACTAGCCAATGAGAAGCCCTGGACATTGGCCAACAGCACTGTAACTAATAGAGTCTCTGTGTGTTATTTTGGGGGCTAAAGTGGTGCCAGGAACCAGGCGGGAATCCCGCAACAAGATTGTATTCTGGAAATATCAGGGGGAAGAAATTAATGGAGGTAGACTTATTTCTTGACTACAGATTCTTCTGTTAATGGGTAAAAAACAAATTCCTTTTGGATTTATTCTAATGAGAAAGATAAATTAGATCCACAGCTGTTTTACATATTAATTTGTGTGTCTGTGTGTTGCTAAGTAAGCACACTGTCACTGAGATATATCCTGTTTTTAAATTTTAAAGTCCATTTATCCTTTTATTTTTTTACTTGAGACAGAGTCTCATGTAGCCTAGGCTGGCCTGGAACTCACAGAATGATTGAGGATGACCTTGAACTGCTAATCCTTCTGTGTCCCTCCCAAATGCAGGGCAAGGGGTGTGTGCAACTGTATATGCTTTATTTTGATTTTGAAGTAGGATCTTGTGTAGCCCAGCCTGGCCTTGAACTCACTATGTAGCCAAAGCTGGCTTTGAACTCCAGATCCTCTTGTCTTCACCTCCTGAGTGCTGAGATTACAGGTTGCAGCACCACACCTAGGTTCAAAAAGTAATTCGTTTTTACTAAGAGCACAGCTGTGATTACTCAATGAATTTGCCAAATTATTGCCCCTGCAGGCAGACATCATCTGCACTAGCCATGGAGTGGACCTTTGCTAAGGTTCTGGACTCTGCAAGACCTTGCCATTGCATGGGGTGCTACCCATTGCCGTGTTAGCCCACATGAGGCTGAGAGCCCATCTCAAGCTATCGGCCCCTGCTTGTCCTGATGAAGTGTGGGGAAAGACTGGGCCCTTCCCTCAGCCCAGTGTAGAGAGCTTCTCCCGTATATGGGCTATAATTGCAGTTCAAACCCTTCTGATTTATATTCATACCAGACACAGTGTGGTTGTAGCTAGGGTATAAATAAACATTGTGTAACTTTGGTCTCAATGCGGACAGAGGCCTGTCTTGGAAATGGCTGCCAAAATGAGAGATTCCCTGGAAAACACATATACTTACTCTATTAATTTCCTTTAAAAGGCAGAAATTTGGCAAAATTTCCCCCAGGAACAAAAATAAAAAACAAGCCCCAGGGGAGAAAGCCAGTATTAAACCCATTGCTGCTAGCTAATTATACAGCATGGACATAAAGTAGACAGCTTTCATTTATTTCTCTAAAAAGTAAAATTGTGCCTCAGGGAAAAATGCCTCAGAATGCTGCTTCCAAACATCAATCATTAAAATATTTTGGCATCAAGATTTCCTGTTAAGTGCTATGAGTGGAAAGAGCTGACAGATATTAAGTCTACTCAATGGGTTTCTTTAATTCATACCAGGAAATTAATAAAAAAAAGCTTATCCTGGAGTTCTGGAATGAATTTTTTAAAAATTATTTAGAGCAGAGAGAGAAGAGAATGACTCCACAAAAAAAAAGGAAAGTTCAATATGAGGGTGAATCCAAGTGTCTAATGTGACAACAGAGGCTATTGTTTAACTTTAAGCTTTAGTAGTTTTCCTTTGTCAGATCTGTGGGTCCCTCAGCCTCAGTCTAACCCATCTATAGAATGGGTATCATGTTTACATAATGTAGAGTCGAAAACCCAGTCAAACTATTTTAAGTCCATTCCATCTGTGCATACTCCATAGATTGTAGCTGCTGTTACTATATATTCCTATTAATGTAGAAATTACTGGAATATGCCTTTCTCTAATCTCAGGACTTTAGAGGCAGAGGCAGAGGGAGCTCTGTGAGTTCAAGGCCCACCTAGTTTGTATAGCAAGTTTCAAGCCAGCCCAAACTACATAGTGAGACCCTACCTTAAAAACAAAAAGTGCTGAAAATGGATAAACATGACTTTGGAAACCTATTGACTATTGGACATACAAATGGCTGACCTGGTAGACGTTTTCCCGCCTCTCTGTAGCCACGCTGTCTTTCTCTGCAGGAGGCTGCCCTGGCTCATCTGCATTATCAGGACCCTCTACCCTGGCTTCAGTTGGTTTTAGCCAAAGGAAGATAGCAGCAGGGAGGGGGAGTTGCCCAAAGATGAGAATCCTGATTCTTCCCATTCTCCCATTGTTGGGCCATCACAGATTAGCTGCACCCTTCTACCAAAAGCCACAGAACGCCTCAGCTACTCCTGCAGCTGCAGCTGCTCCCCGAGGCCCCCCCCCCCCCCCGCATGCATTTCCTCTGCTCCTTCAGGACTGGGGGTGAAGTAGCTCCCCACATCCTTCATCTGTTTCCCTTAGCCTTTGCCCAGGCTGTTGTAAAGCAGTTCCTTTGTTAAACTCTCCTCCGTTACCACATTCGAGTCAACCATCTGGTCCCTGCCAGGATGCTGTGATACTGTGAACTCTCATAGAGGTCACTGGGGTTTTAGGATGGGACGTGGAAGGAAGGGACAAGTCTGCCTGAAGTGAGGAATTAGCTGGTATGCTTGAGCGAGAGTATCAGTACGGGCAAGGAAGAGTTCACATGAATGTCCAAGAGAAGATGAGCACAGACACTGAGGCAAAAGGCAGTGACAGCTATGAGAGGGGACTAGCTGGTCAAAATGAAGAGGGTCAGAAGGAAAGGGAAGGCGGGCACAGTGGTTGGTGCATACCCATAATCCTCCATGTATGGGAGTCAGAGACAGAATCATCTCCTGTTCAAGGAGTGCCTGGTCTGCATGATGAGTTCTGGGTTAATCGGGACTAAGACTCGGTCTGGAAGATTTAAAGGATTTGGGGATTTAAATCCTATCTCAGAAGACGCCATGATTTATCTCATTTAATTTGCTGACAGTGCTGAGATTAAGGGCAACATGCTGCCATATGCCTAACAGCGTGTACTTCAAGTCCAAATGCCTCCCTCTCTACCTTGTACTGAGAAGGTTGGCTTTAGCCCCTCTTCCAACGGTGAATGCTGTGGGCCTGCAGCTCTCAGACTGACCCCCTAAGGAGCTACAGCCATACAATTCCCATCAGGAGGGCAGGGCCATTTAGCCTGTACAAACAGAAAGAAGCCTCTTGAACAGAGGCCCCTGAAGGCCAGTGACTCGAGTCAGTTCTGCTTTGCTGAGTCCTTTTAAAGTCTGTATTCTTATGCCAGGCATTGGTGGTACACACCTTTAATCCCAGCACCCAGGAGGCAGAGGCAGGTGGAGTTCTTCAAGTTCAAGGTCAGCCTGGTCTACAGAGAAAGTTCCAGGACAGCCAGGACTTTTACACAGAGAAACCCTATCATGAAAAACAAACAAACAAACAAACAAACAAACAAACAAGTCTGCATTCTCCCATTTGGACACCGTCCTTTGTCAATCATTTATTCCTTAGCTCCCCGCACTCTGGCTTCTAGACCTAGCTTCCAAGATTGGCAAGAGCTCTTAGGATATCTGGCTTGCTAAATCCACCCATATCGGGTGGGATGGGGATGGGAGGATGGGAGGCAGAGGGAACTGGGATTGGATATGTAAGATAAGATTGTTTCTAAGTTAAATTAAAAAAGACTTTAAAAAATCCACCCATATCTTCCTTCTTTGGGACATGATGGTGTTGTCCACGTCTGCTTCTCAACAACCTTCTTTCTCCTGGCCTCAGCATTCCCTCAGGTCTGCTTGGTCCTGGGAGTCCTTCCTCTTCAGTCTCCTTTGTGGGTCACTGTCCCTCCCCCACACACACCCCTGGCTCCCCTCTCACCTGGAACTCTGTCCTTGACCCAAATTCCCCTGAGGGTCAGATCCATTGCTCTAACTTCCTACAGCTGGATATCCTCTCTTTGAAGGTCCTTAAGGGGGCCTCAGACCTCCTAAGCTGTACTAGATTCCTGACCTGCTTGCCACGCCCTTTCTGAACTGGCTCCTCCACTGATTTCTGTCTTCAGTTATCCAAACCAGAGCTCTCTCACTACCCACAGCTCCTCTTTTTCTTGATTTTTCCCATTTAAATCTGTCATCCCCCCCCTCCACCCTCATTGCTCAGATCCTTATACCTTGCCCAATACTGTCAAGTTGTTCTTTTTTTTGGTTTTTTGAGACAGGGTTTCTCTGTATTGTTTTGGAGGCTGTCGGACCAGCCTGGCCTTGAACTCACAGAGATCCGCCTGCCTCTACCTCCGGAGTGCTGGGATTAAAGGCAAGTGCCACCACCGCCCAGCGTCAAGGTATTCTTAACCAGTCCCCCTACCTACAGTCTCACTCCATAGCACCTGCTAGGCCTTAGTCTCAAGTCCTTCCCTGTTGCTCCACCATCAAACTCAGGATGCAATCCATGCCCTTCCAGGACATGGTCCTTGTCCATTCCCACAGTCTTCGTGTGCATTCTAAATAAGCTGCATTCTAATGGTCTCTTCACCAACTACATCTAATAGAATGAAAGATGCTTGCAAAGGAAGTGTTTCTCTAACTCCCTGGTGATTGGGACATTAAAAAAATACTGACAAGTGTTTTCTGAATGACAGAGCAGTTAATTAATATTATGAGCAAATGAATGAATGGATCAGTTAATTAATATGATGAGTAAACAAATAATCACTAGATCCTTTCCTGGGTTTGGCCCATAGTGTGTAGTTTCTGCAGCACAGTTTGCCCTGAATTTGGCTCAAGCCTATATTAGGTCTTCTTGCCATTCCCTGCACTGACCCTGTGGCCTAAACTCTTTCTTCCACATCTTTAACTCATGTGTTTTGCCCAGTTTCAACCTTTGCTCCCTTGCTACACCTCCATTTCCTATGACAGCACAAATTAGTCATTTGATTGGCTGTGATAACAGGCAAGGGTGTGGAAGTGTGTTGAAGGTTATGATCTGAAAGCCCTGCTTTGAGTTTCATTTCTAAGTGTTTTCTGAGTCTTACATGTCAAGTTGCCAGATACCAGTTGCTTTTGCAATTGAAATTTACCAGGGCCCAACCATCATGGACAGGTTTGCCCTTTATAGTGGCTTTCATGGTCTCCTCTAGAATATTCCATGGTCTCAAGTTTATCACAGGGTGACGTGAGGAAAGTATAGCTTCCTTGAGAAAAAAAGAAGGATAAATGCACATGGAAACAGAATTCTAAACCATGTAGCTCCAGAACTAAGGCAATTCATTTTCCTCTCCCTTCCTTCTCCCACCGTTATACAGATTATCCAGTACTGTGGAGACCTCTACATTCACCTGCTGGAATTCCCAAATAAAGATTTGAGAAACTGGATTAAGTTCATTACCAGTCTTTTGTCTTGCAAATGACAGAGAGAGTCCTGTTTTATTCTTCTGGAAAAGTCTTGTACCTGCAGTTGAAAAAAATGCAATATTACATTCATGGCATGGCCTCTTCTGTTTGACGTTTGTTGTTTCTATTGCCATTGGCAAACTTTAAAGGTGTTTGGGGCTAGTGAGATGTCTCGGTGTACAAAGGGACTTTCAGCTAAACACGATGACCTGAGATCCACAGAGTGGAAGGGGAAGAGTGCACACATACACATACACACACACACACACACACACACACACACATACACACACACATACACATACACACACATACACACATACACACACACATACACACATACACACACACATACACACATACACACATACATACATACACACATACACACACACATACACACACATACACATACACACATACACACACATACACACACATACACACATACACACATACACACACACACACACACACACACACACACACACGCTCTTAATAAGTTTTACCTTAGTCTTCAGTTGGTCAGTCTGTTCTTTCAGTTTCTGACACATCTGTTTTCCTTGGAAGATCTTTTGAAATATGTAAGAATTTGGGGAAGAATCTTTCTGGGTTGTTGGGGTCGACTTCAAGTGACATTTCTCAGAATCAATTCCTATGCAAAAAAAGCAAAGTTTGACTACTATTCATTTCTGCTTAACACAGTTTTACTAAATATTACAAATAGGAGTCTGTAACAATCAACACATTTCTTTTTGAGATTTCAAAGTGCTTCTCTAAATAATAGTTTTAAGATGCTACCTGTGAGAGCTTCTTGGTGGGTGTGTGTGGCAGGCTCCATCTGCAAAATTAAAGGGTAAGAAGTCATTGGTTTTGGAGACTAAGCAATGACATTGTTGTTCAGAATGCCTTGTGTCCTGGTCATTGAGGACATGGCACAATGCTATGGTCCAAGCTGTGACACCATGTTGAGGTTGAATTTCACCGTGACACTGTAACACTGTGATTGGGTGACATAGGCAATTGCTCGTTGCTATAGGCCTCAAATTTCTTGGTGGTAAAGTGGGGACAATAGAAAATGTACCTTATGGGGCTGCTATCAGGATTAATTGGGGTACACATTCAGTTGACATTGTGATTATGTTTGACACTAGCCTGTAGAATACGCCAACATTTCTCCTAGACATAAAAGCTCCATGAGGGCAAGGACCGTTGTCAGACTTGTCACAGCTCAGTTGCTGGTGCTCTTGTTAATACCAAATGCAGCAACCAGACTCTAGTGATGATACAATATGCATTAAATGATAAACATGTCAAGATGGCGGTGGTTCCTACTGCTGCAGGCTGACTGGACAGGGGTTTAAACTCTTGAGTGGTTCACCTTTAGGGTCTTGAGAAACATAAACATGCCAGAGAGATAAATGACTGTTCAAAATTGACTCTGATCATGATGAATATATTCAGTAAAGAAAATTATTGGGTCCAATTCCCCCGATTTAAGCTGATGGGACTGGTGGGGAAAAAAATCAGAAATTTGACATCAAGCTCATTGACAAACTCAAGCATTGCCAAGGAGAGATGAGTAGACATCTGCTCTGATCCCACGAATCACAGGCTACCGAGAACTGGCCATGTATGAATGCTCTCTTGTAAAAAGAAAGAGGGACCCCAAGCTTCCCAATGTCACAGGAATGTAGATGTCCCTAAGACAGAAAACAGCCCAGTCAGGCTCCAGGTTTTGTGTATGTATATGTGTGTGTGTGTGTGTGTGTGTGTGGTGCCAGGTAGGGGAGGGTGTCTGCTCAGATCTTTAGGGTGTTCAGCTGAGCTGGAAGGGTGTTTAGAGGAGAGCTGTAGGGTGTGATAGAGGGCATTATAGAGTGAGGCCAGCATTGCCACTCCACACAGAACTCCCTCACTCAGGCTTGCAAGGAAGGCAATTCAGCAACAAAGAATTAAAAATTTTCCTGTATTTTTTAAAAAGATAACTCTATATAACTATCGAACTTTAAATAATCAATGAGTTCCCGGACCTCATCAGGAAGGGAAGTTGGGTAGAGATAAGAAGACAGGATAAGGAAAAGGAGAAATGGCATAGGGACTAGCCATTAACAAAACTTTATAGTAAAAGGGTACTAATATAATGTTTGAATTGTGGTAATAAAGAGCTTAGCTTTATTTCATTTGGCATTAATAACTCAGGGAATAATGTACATAGGACACAAGGCCAGGCCTCGCTGGGAGGCAGTAATAGAAAACTGAAGGTCCTTCAGAGTTTGCAGATCTAGTAAAAGAAATGGACACCTCCTGGCTATTATGAGCCAAAGCAGGCTGAGGTGAGCTGAGAATAGACCTCATATACAACCCTGCTGTACCACTCCTGGGAATTCACTCTCATGGAATACTTGCACACCGATGTTTATTGCTGCGTGGTTGTGGAACTAACCTAGGTGTCCAGCAACAGGTGGTCTAGGGGGAGGGCGAAGGGGAAGGAAGAGTTAGCAGGGATTGTGTGGGGGTGGGCACGTTAAAAATGCATTATATATTTGCATGACTGTGGCCTAATGTAACCCCATTTGCTGCACTTTGATGATGATGATGATGATGATGAAGAAGAAGCAAGTGAAAGCTGCTGGTTGGGAGATTTGAGGAGTAATGTGGCCTGAGGGAGATTTGAAGGAAGCTGTATAAATGAATACTCCTTGGAAAATCAGGTTAGGCCATTCTAAGATATGTGTGGTGGTGTATTCCTGTAATCCCAATATTGGGGGGGTAGAGGCAGGAAGATCAGAGATTCAAGGCCAACCTGTGCTACATGAGACACTGTTTCAAGAAAAAAACAAAAACAAAAACGGGGACATTCCTTGTAAAGAAGGAATTTGGGACCCAAATTTCTCTTGGGGCCTGAGGAGAACCGGCTCTTGAAGATGACTTTGAGGGAAGAGCTGAGTTTAGAAGTAAAGATGAGGGCTGGAGAGATTGTTCAGTGGTTAGAGCACTGGATGCTCTTCCAGAGGACCAGGGTTAAATTCCCATCACCCACACCATGTCTCACAACCATCTGCAACTCTAGTTCCAGAGGATCCAATGCACTCTGCATGCAATAGACACGTATGTGGAGCACATGCATACAGGCAGCAAGCACCTATACACATAAAATAAAATTTAGCACTAAAATTAATGGAGAAAATTGGGGAGAAACTATAAAGGAAATTGGGGTGGATTTTATTATATGTATGTATGCAGCTTTCAAACAATTTTTTTAATTTATACGAAATTAAGAAATATATTGGAAACTGAGCATGGTGGCGTGTACTTTTATTCCCAGCACTCTAGAGGCAAAGGCAAGTGGACCTCTGTAAGTTCAAAGCCAGTCTGGTCTACTTTTAAGTTCCAAGTCAGCCAGGACCATAGAGGTACTTTGTCTCAAAAATCAAAACAAAACAAAACCCTAACAACAAAGAAAAAGAAAGAAAGGAAGGGAGGGAGGGAGGGAGGGAGGGAGGGAGGGAGGGAGGGAGAGAGAGAGATGTATATTGGGAAAGCTTTGAGGAATTTGGATTTTTCTGAATCTGACTTCTGATTCTTTTCATGAGGTCACCACTGAGTTTCTGAGAGGCCTGTTCACTTGCCCAGGATAACCCAGAGGGCTACAAAACTTTAGAACTGCAACAAACCTCTGTGTACAAGTCCACTCTAGGATGACCACCCTGGATGACCACCCTGGGTCAGTATTGATAGGCACCACTCTCATTTACCTGGGTTTGTTGTGAAGGTTCAGTAAATTTCCTTTTTTGCTCTGGTTGCTTTTGAACACAATTTGGCCCAGACATGGTTTCTAAATTGTCTTGCACAACTGTTGATTTATTTCTCAACCTAGGAGAACAGCTGGCTTGGTTAGCTATTGTAAATGGTTTATTAGTTATGGCGTTTCTAGGGATTTTCACTTTGGGAGCAACCTTAGAGAAGTCTGGAAGCTGGTAATGCACTTGAGCATAGCCATATTTGAACCTGGTACCTGAACTTGCTTTTTCAGTCGGCTGGGGTGTCTGCCCTGGGCAGTTCTGTTGTTTGTCATCTGGACCTTTAGTTCTACCTAGAAAGCTTGGATCTGCTTGATGACTGCTCTGCAGGGTAGCCACAGGTTCTCCTGAAGGAGAGATGCTTTCTCCTGATGGGCCTGGAGAGAAACGGGGCTTACTGCTATTTTCTGCACCACTTTTGGGACTGGGTTGGTCAGTGAATACTGGGGTTTGTTCTTCGGAGGAATAATTCTTCACATAACATGAAATGACATTTGTAAGAATAGCTGTGTCACCAAGACTGTTAGCATTCAAGGTCTTTGGGAGAGTTTCATAGCCAATGCCTTGCCCCCTCGAGAAGTGCTCCCTGGAGAGATGATGGAGTAAAATATCCGAAATGTGTGACTTTGAGGCATCTCCTTTATTAGCTGGAACACCAGGAGCCAAGGCACACTGTTTATCTTTATCGCGCCTGTCATTGACAATACTTTTAGTGATCTTATCAGAGATCATGACTATAGCTGTGTTCTGGCACATCTCACAGCGCGCAGCCTTTTCCTGGGGCTCTTCTCCTGACAGAACAACGTCTTCTGAGACAGCCATGGTGTCGTTTGTTGAGGTAAAGTTGTAAGAACTATACATCTTCATCTGAGAGAAGTCCCCGTCATAAGGCAAGTCCTCTTGTTGTTTATAGGTTGTGTCTTCTGAAAAGTCAGCTTCGTCCATGATGCAGGGGGCTGATGTCTGTGGTCCTCTGCTGCCTGGCCTTGGTGTTCTTAATGATCACAATGTTGTCTGGTTCTCATTGAATGTCCGCACTGTGTGTTCTATGCTGTCAGAAGAGATAGCAGCTTCATTAGTAAATATAGAAGGCTAATGTGTGAAGCTATGCTTGCTCTGGTTTCTATGCTGAAACAGAAACATGCTTTTCATTCAGAGAAATTCAATTACAAATCTGAGAGCAGAAATCTCAGCCAAAGGATAACTCACCCTAAATGCTATTAAGAGAAAGAATGATGGGAGGTTATAATTTTTATCCATTAAATTTTGCGGGGGTGTGGTCTGAACTTAAAGGCATATCTTCATCGCTCTCGGGAGGGACTGTTTGGCATTTGTTCTCATCACTTATCAGCCTTTGGGGTGAAGATCAAATGTGGAGTTGTTCTGTCAGAGCGAGGGCTTGAAACACGGGGGGAAAGGTCGTTTGATGTATGCTGCCATTACTTGTCTACACATTTCTGATATCTCCGAGTCACGTGATGCTGGGAGCTGACTCAGCTCACACACGGTACTCCATTCTGCTGTCTTTTGTAAAGTGGTATTTTATTTTCTAATTGACACATAATAATTACAAATATTTGTGGCACACAATGTGATGTTTTGATATGAAGGTAGCACTTAAAAAATGCCGGGTCTCACTGTTTAGCTCTGACTGACCTGGGACTCACTATATTAACCAGGTTGACCTCGGATTCAAAGATCTGCCTGTTTCTGCCTCCCAAGTGATAGGATTAAAGGCATGCACCACCACACTGGGCCTGAGTAACTTATTTACCACCCTGTAAATATATAATTTTTGTAGTGAAATATTAAAACCCTTATCTATTTTGAAATATTTTTCATTATTAAATACCTCATTGTGCAATAGAAGATCAGGACTTATTCTTCCTAGACTAACTTTGTAGCCATTGGCCAGGTCCTCTCTACATTCTGTTAACCATTGTTTTGCTCTCTGCTTCTATGGGATTAGCTTTTTAACTTTCATGGACGTGTGCGTGTGTTGTGTGTGTGTATATGTGTATGTGCATATATGTGTGTGTTGTGTATGTGTGTTTTGTTTGTTGTGTGTGTGCCTGTATATGTGTGTTGTGTGTGTATATGTTGTGTGTATGTGTGTTGTGTGTATATGTGCGCTGATTGAATGAGTATATGTCTGTGTAGGGGTATATTTGTACATGTGCATCCGCATGTCGAGGCCAGCAGCCAACAGCAGCTGTCTTCCTTACCCGCTCTCCACCTTGTTTTTAGAGACAGGGTCTCTGCTTGAGTCTGGGTGCTTACAATTTGACTAGGCAGGCTGGCGATCAGCCCGAGGCGCCTCCCGCGCTCTGTGTCCTCCCTGGCACTGCAGTACACCACGGCATGTCTGGCCTCTTACATGGGTGTTGGGGGTCACGTGCTCATGAAATGCAGCAGGAACTTTACAGACTGAGCCATCTCCCTGCCCCTGGTTAGTTCTTCTGGATTCTGCATATGAATGAGATCAATACTTGTCTTTCTGTGCCTGTCTTCCTTCACCTCACGTATGTCCCAGTGCTCTTTCCCCTGTTCCGTCTTCCAAGGGTTCCTCTTGTTGTGTCTTAGAAGAGCATGGAACAGTGGTTCTCAAATGTGGGTCTCCATCCCTTTGGGGGTCGTATATCAGATATTTACATTAAGATTCATAACAGTAGCAAATTTATGGTTATGAAGTAGCAATGAAAATAGTGTTATTGTTGGGGGTCACCACAACAAGAGGAACTGTATTAAAGGGTCACATTAGGAAGGACTGACAGAAATATGACCAGGTGAGGTCTTGTGAACCCCTGGAAGACAGGCTACAAGCCAAACATCCCTCTTCTACTAGGCCCCAGGCAGGAGGCTTGTCAGTGAGGCTTTCCCTCAGCAAGTTCCTAGCAGCTGTCACAACCCAGAGGGCAGGGTGGTGTCCTGGGGAATATTTCTGAAAAATGGTCAGGGCACAGCTGGCTGCCACTGGGTACAAATCCCTTTTGATAAAGAAATCTGCAACATCCATTTAGAAGACAGCTCCTCTTAATTGGTGGACACCTTAGAAGTAGTAAAACCACCTCGACTTTTAGGGGACTTGTGTTTCCCAAGAGTACCAGTCAGGTCCTGAGCTCTCCTGACGCAGGGTAACCATAACCACTGGCTGGTCCCACCCATCTGATGATGGGGTTAGGTGAACAGATCTTTGAGGTCCTTCCCCATCCAGATTTTTATGTCCAAGAACTTGTGATTTATTAGTTAACCTCAAAGGCTGCAATAACATGTTTGGTAAAGAAAAACATTGAACTAAGTTCCCCCAAAAGAGGAGCACAAATTTAAGGCATCTGGGAAACATCAAAAATCAGTTTGTAGTTGCATGCCAGTGTTATGGAGCCCAGATTTTAAAAAGTGAAAACTGCTTTGTGGTGGGGAGGAAGAGAAAATGGCCACAGGATTACTTTGTCGTTTATGTAGAGATGGGGGCTTGCTGCAGCTTAGGGAAGGCACATCTGTAGAAGCAGAATTCCGGGTTACTCCAGCCTGACTTGAAGGCAGGAGGAAATGTTTCCCGGTGGAGATGAAGACACAAAGGGAAAGCTGGAATGGGCCCTGGATTTGGTTCTCCTCCACTCATTAGCTGTCTGGCTCTGGAGGCATTTAGCTTTTCTCTCCTCCCCTTCCTCTGTTGTCCAATGATAAGAACTCACTGTATCCAGCTGGCCTCAAACTCCCGGGCTTAACTGGTCCTTCTGTCTCAGCCTCCTGAGTAGCTGGGTCCACAGGCATGTGTCTCTGTGCTTGATTTTTATTTAACTTTTCCTGAGTCTGTTTTTCTTCTGTCTAGTTCACAGGACTTCTGATGATGGCATGACACAAGGTGCATGAGGTGTGTAGCACAGAGAGTGCAGCAAGCACAATTTTAAAAATAAAAATGAAACGTTGATGGGTGTGGTGGTGCACGCCTTTAATCCCAGCACTCAGGCCTCTGCAGGCAGGTGTATCTCTGAGTTCAAGAGCAGACTGGTCTAAATAGTGAGTTCCAGGACAGTCAGAGAAACATGGAGACCCTGCAGATAGATAGATAGATAGATAGATAGATAGATAGATAGATAGATGAGTGGGTGGGTGAGCGGGTGAGAAGATGGATGGATAGATGATAGATGGGTAGACAGACAGACAGACAGACAGATGATAGAAAAATAAGGAAGGGCTGATGAGACAGCTCAGTGGATAAAGATGCTTGCCACTAAGTCCCATGTTCAAACCCTGGGAACTGCATGGAGGAGGACAAAACCAACTCCTGAAATTTGTCCTCTGACCTCCACACACATGATATGGTACAACACAGCCACAGTCACACAGTTCTCTCTCTCTCTCTCTCTCTCTCTCTCTCTCTCTCTCTCTCTCTCTCTCTCTCTCTCACACACACACACACACACACACACACTTTGTTTAAAGCAAAAAGAATTGAAATGTAAAAAATAAATTAATAAAGAAATAAAAGAGGAAAAAAAAGCAAAAGGAAACACTTCACAGAGATGAGCTAGAGGCCCAAGGAATTCCCTCATTACACACAGAAAAGCCAGCTGCAGAACTACCGCTGTTTCCCTGTGTGCACACCCGGAACCTCACAAGCCTCTTCCGAGGAAAACACACCCCACACCCTTTGCTTGGCATCACTACAGGCCCTTACAGGTGGCTGGAAAGAACTGGAACATCTTCGTGATACCACCCAGATCAATCTTGGAACCCGAAGGTGTCTTCTGAGAGAGTCTAATCAGAACCCAACAGAACTCTGGGAGCCACAGCTGTCCCCACAGGTGACCTGAGCATTGTGAGCTCAGTGGTGGCTCATAGTCCCTGTATGGAACAGAGGAGCCCCAATGCCCCAGCCTGTGAGGACACCTCAGTCCAGTCCTTAGCAGAGTCGTGCAAGTGCCCACCACGCTGACAGCTCTTCCCAGTGTGGCTGATGACACTGTAAAATCTGATGCTGGCCTAAGCATACTAACTTGCCTGTAGAAGAGAGGATGGCTAGATTTCCTGGTTTCTGAAGAATCAAAGGTATCTTCAGTTTGGGGACAGGGGACCACTAAGTGTAGAGGCAAAGGTTGGTCAGCTGACCCTTATTTCCTTCCATCTAGTAGGTAGTATTTCTTCTGCTTACTAGGTAGGTTTAATAATAACGAACGTCACACCCTGGAAGGACTGTTTTCAACACTGAGTCACTGGTTGGGTTTGTTGCTGTTTTTGTTTTGTACGGTAGTATCTGGAGACTGAACCGAGAGCCTCGCACATGTTAGGCAAATACCCTACCACTGAGCTATATCCCCAGCCTTCATAGCTGAGGATAAACTTGAACTTCTGTTTCTCCCCTGTCTTTGTTAAAATTTCTATTACTAGGGTAAAACATGGTGACCAAAAGCAACTTGGGGGAAGAAAGAGTTTATTTCATCTTTCAGCTCTCATGTCAGTGTCCTGGAGGCAGGAAACTGAGGCCACAGAGGAACACTGGTTACTGTCTTGCTCCTCATGGCTTGTTCAGTCTGCTTTTTTTAAAAACCAGGACCACCATAATCCTCCCCCAAACACAGTCTGACAGCAACATTCCACTCCTGGTTCGTAATCTCTGTCTTAAGAGTTTCTATTGCGGTGATAAAACACCATGACCAAAACCAACTTGGGGAAGAAAGGGTTTATTTTATATTACAACTCTCAATTCACACTCCACCATTGAGGGAAGCTAGGGGCAGAACTCAAGGTGGGAACCTGGAGACAGGAACTACAGAGGCCGCAGAAGGATGCTGCTTACTGGCCTGCTCCTCATGGCTTGCCCAACCTATTTTCTTAAAGCACCCAGGGCCACCATCCCAGGGGTGGCACTGCCAATTGTGGTGGCTTGAATGAGAACGCCCTCCTTAGGCTCTCGTGACTGAATGCTTGGTCCCTAGTTGGTGGACTAGTTTAAGAAGGATTAGGAGGTGTGGCCTTGTTGGAGGAGATGTGTCCCTGGGGGTGGACTTCAACGTTTCAAAAGCCCACACTAGGCCCAGTCTTCTCTCTCTCCCCTTCCCTCCCTCCTTTCCCCCCTCCCTCCCTCCTACCCTCCCTCCCTCCCTCCCTCCCTCCCTCCCTCCCTCCCTCCCTCCCTGTCTTCCTCCTCTGCATTCTGTTTGTGGATCAGATGTAAGCTCACGGCTACTGTTCCAGAACCTTGCCTGTCTGCCTGCCTGTTGTCATGTTTCCCACCATGCCGGTCACAGACTAACCCTCTGGAACTGTAAGCAAGTCCCCAATTAAATGCTTTCTTTTATAAGTGGTGTCTCTTCACAGAAATAGAACAATAACTGAGACACCAATAATGAGCTGGGGCCTTCTACATCAATTATCAATTATGAAAACACACCACAGGCTTGTCCATAGGGCAGCCTAGTGGAGGCATTTTCTTAATTGAGGTTCTCTCTTCCAAAAAGACTCTAGCTTTTATCTGGTTGACATAAAACTGGCTAGTATATCCTGTCTCCACCTTTGGGGGGAGGATTACAAGTTGTGGGATTACAAATGCGCCTCATCATGACAAATTTATGCTGGGGACGGAATCCTGGGGTTCATGTCTACTCAACCAGCACTTTCCTGATAAAAATTCAGCCCGAGCCCTCATTTTATTTTTTGAGACTGAGTAAGTTACGTAGCTGGCCTGGGGCTCATATTCTTTCTCTTCCTTTTTTTTTAAGTCAGAAACAAGCTTATTTCACATGTCAACCCAGCTCCCTCTCCCTCCCCTCCTCCCCCACCCTCCCCACCAGGCCCCCCAGCCCCCCACCCAATCTCCACTCCAATCCCCAGGGAGAGTGAGGCCCTCCATGGTGGATATCCAGAGTCTGTCATTTCATCCAGGGCAGGGCCTAGTCCCTCCCACAAGAGTCCAGGCTGAGAGAGCATCCCTCATTGTGGGATGGGCACTCAAAGTCCATTTGTACGCCAGGGATAAATACTCTGGGGCTCATTTTACAGTCTACAACCATCTTGAGTTTGTTATCCTCCTGTTCAGCCTCCCTCACAGCTGGAAACACGGTCCTAATCCACCAGACGCAGCTCCATGACTGTCTTTTGATCTCAGTACCCCCATTCCCTGCTGGAGAGACGTCTGTGGTCCAGCTGTGGAAGAGAACGCCAGAATAACCTCATCTCCCTCCTCCCCTCCCCGTAAGGTAACCGTTATCTCAGCCACCTCCCCTCAAGATCCTAAACCCGCACTTCTGAGGTCAACTGTGCTGACTGAAGTAAAAGTAAGACTTAACTATTGGAGGCAGTGATGGAACCCCGCCCCCCCCCCCGCCCTGCCCTTTCCTAGACTGTCATTTAGAATATGGCAGACTTAGAATCAGGAGCCTTGAGGACCCGTTCCATCATTTTTTATTCCACACAAAAAACATGCTGCCCTGTCCTCAGAGGAAGCAATGTGACAGTCACCACCAAGAGGTAAAACAGGCCAGGCAATGGTGGTGCACGCCTTTAATCCCAGCCCTCAGGAGGCAGAGGCAGGTGGATCTCTGTGAGGTAAAACAGGGTGGCAGGAAGAAAAACTCACCTGCATCTAGGGGTCCCAATATCACACAGTGAAGAGTCTTGCAATGCAGATGAACCAAGCTTTAACTAGAAATCATATTTTATTTCTTTTGATCACTGCAAGTTGGTTGCAATTGAATGACGAAAAGCTGCCCTTCAAAACTGAGGTGTGTTGCCTCTCCTTTTAAGGGATTGATCTGAAAAGCCACAGGGAATTCTGATGCAATCTAAACTTTGTTTTTGTTTTTGTCTTTGTTTTTTTGTTTTGTTTTTGTTTTTTAAGACAGGGTTTCTCTGTATTGCTTTGGAGCCTGTCCTGGAACTCGCTCTGTAGACCAGGCTGGCTTCAAACTCACAGAGATCCGCCTGCCCCTACCTCCCCAGTACTGGGATTAAAGGTATGTGCCACCAATGTCCGGCTTGTCTTTAAGAGCAGTAATAAAAATGCTTAGTTTCACTCTTAAACTTTATGTTCTCTGCCTTTATTTCTAGCTGTGGATTTCTGTTTATCCATGAAGGAAAAAAAGTCAGCTGGTTCAAAAATAAGTCCCAAGCCACACCCAGGGGGCAGTCAGTCAGGGATTTTTGTGCCAGTCTATGATGTTTCTAAGATTAAAATATTTGCAGAGGTAATGTGACGAAACCTCCTCTGTGAGCACTGCATTAGATTCTGAGCTGGTAATCCGATCAGCTAAGTGGATCTCAGACCTATGGTCTGCCCACAAATGCGGTGTCTATAACCGTAACTGTATCTCATTCTGTGTGGTGGCCCAGCCTCATGTCATCATTGTGGCATGACAGCAGGGAAACTGCGATGGAGCAGCAGATCAATCCAATCCTCCCTCGAGAGCCAGGTGGATGTATTATTTATAGTCAGGCTTAGGGCATGAATGTGGTAGCCAGCTGTCGTGGAGTATTTGTCTAGAGGCTGTTTTGAAAATTTTTGAAGCTGAGCAAATCAGCATTTGGAGAAACACTTTTCTTTGCTTGTCTTTTTGTCTAGTTTTCCTGCTCATGTAGCCCTTTGTCGTCATAGATGGTCTAACCTGAACCATAACCCATGGACCTTGATCATGCTCAAGGAACACTTGGAAAGCAATTGATTTTCTAAAAATAGTTTTCACGATATTCTTACATGTTTATGGGGTATACATACATTCATGTGAGGGGATGTGCATGATGGAACAGGTGTGTGTGTGTGTGTGTGTGTGTGTGTGTGTGTGTGTGTGTGTGTGTTACAGGACAACCTCCAGTGTAAGTCCTCAGTCACTGGCTGGGCTCCTCACCACATAGACCGCCAGGCTCTCCGTCCCACCTCACCATCACTGGGATCAGAGATGTGGGCTATTGTGCTAGGCTCTTTGCATGGGTCCTGGGGATCTGAAGTTAGGTGCTCACACTTGCAAAGGAAGTGCTTTTATAGACCCATCTTCTCAGCCTTCCTAAGGTTTTCAGCACGCTAAATTTTAAACAAGTAATTTACTAATAACTTCCGGGCTGGTAAGATGGTTCAGGGGGTAAAGACACTTTCTGTGTAATCCTGGAGACTGGAGTTCGGTCCCTGAGACCTACTGCAGGCTTGGCACAAGTACCTTTACCTGAGCCATCTCAAAGGCCTAAGAGATGGACATGTGACTAAAATGCCAACACTTAGGCAGGAGGATCACAAGTTGGAGACTAGCCTGTTTCATGTAGCAAGTTCCAGGCCAGCCAGGGCTACATAGTGAAATCCTGTACGTGCTAGGAGCATTGGTAGAGTGTTTGCCTAGTATTCATGAATACCCATGTTTGATCCCCAGGATCAAGTGAGCAAGGAGTCATGTACCTGTAGTGTTAACACTCAAGAGGTGAAGTCAGGAGGATAAGGAGTTTAAGGTTATCCTGGACTGCTGGGCAGTGGTGGTGCATGCTTTTAATCTCAGCACTCGGGAGGCAAAGGCAGGTGGATTTCTGTGAGTTCGAGATCAGCCTGGTCTACAAAATGAGTTCCAGAATAACCTGTTACACAGAGAACCCCTGTCTCAAAAAAGAAAAAAGAAAAAAGAAAGAAAGGAAGAAAGAGAAAAGATTATCCTGCACTAGGTAGAGACTGACTTCAGATCAGCATGTGGCACATTGAACCCCATCTTAACAAACCAAAAATCAACCAACCAGGTCTCTTACCATATAGTGATATGTCTGATACTGTTGTAATCAGTTTATAAACTTCCATTGTCACATGTGA